TGCCTTCATTTTCTCATCTGTAAAACTAGGTTTTCAATCATATCTACTCATAGGGTTTTTATAAGGATTAAATGAGTTAGTACATGTAAAATGCTTACAGCAGTGCCTAGTACATAACAGGTGCTTGGTGAGTGTTACCTACTATGTTGCCATTACGATTATTAGTAAAAGCAGTTTCATTCCATGTAGAAGAATGAGATGAAAACTGGATTGCAGTCAGTTGAGGAATGAACTGGAGGTGAGGAAGAGGTGACAGTAAGTGTAAACTCCTCTCAAGAAGCTTGGCTATTAAGGGGAAAATAGACCGTGATGGTAACTGGAGGTAATCTCAAGGCCAAGAAGAGAATTTTTCTTAGAAATGAGACTTGAAACTGAAGGGAAAGCACTAGCAAGAAAGGAAAGATGGAAGATACAAGAGAGAGGGGAGAGATGATGGAACAAGATTCTGAAGGAGGTAGAAGGGATTGAATAAGATCAGAAGCACAAGTAGAGAAGTCTTAGGTTTGGACACTGTCTTGTTCTGAGGGGGACAAATTGGGAGGATGATTGTAGATGTAAACATTTATAGTAGAGTGAAGGTAGTTTATGTTCAATAGCATATGTCTTTTATAATAAGGTCATTGGCTAAGGAGAGGGACAAAGTTGAGAAAAATGGATTAAAGAGTAGCCAGTGAGGCAAATGGAGAGAGATGGCTGACCAAGGGAAAGATAAGGATTACTCAGTAGCGTGTGAGCTCTGTTAAGACTGGAAACCATCAATCCGTAATGACACCATTACCAATATGCATTCTAGCAATCTTAGGCAGCTAGGTATGGGCACAGGGAAGGCAGAGCATCAGATTGATCCAGGGTTAGGGGTTTGCAGGATCAGTGTTTCAGAAGCGGAAGAGAAGAGAATTAAGGGTCCTGGTGAGAGAAGTTAAAACAAGCAAGCCTGCTGATGAAGCCAGGTGAAGAAGGGGGAAGCAAAAGACTAGAAGCCAGAGGTTCCACTGAGCTCTAAAAGGGAAGGGGTATAGTGGAAATAGAGGAGCAAGAGACCTGATGACGAGGAGGGGAGGGCAATGAGTGAGGGGAGAGCATTTTCAGTTTCAATGCCGACAGAATTCCTGAAGACAGCTCTGGCATATTGCCATAGGAGCATCAGATGGCTGAAGTGAATTCTATCCTAGAAATAGGAAGTGAAAACAAATTAAAACTAGTTTTTTCCTGTGATGCCAAACTCCTGAGTTATTCTTTAGTATTGCTTTCTCTCATGTATCCCAAATGCGCCAATCAGCAGTGTTTAACTGCTGAATTGCTTTTCATCGTTCTCAAATGATAGAAAACAATTGATAATTCGGATACAACTTACAATCTTAAACTTGTGTAATTTGCCTTTGAATTACTCATTCTTCTATAAATTTAGCCCATTTATTAGATGCATTATGTGTTTATTGAATGCAAAAAGGAGTAAGACATAAGCTAAAGAGTATGACCTAAGGGAGAAATATGAGTGATCTTCAAAAAGTTCACAGAAGAATTCATATTATCTTTTAATTCCATTTTTCCATGAACTTTTTGAAGTACCCTCATAGGTAACTAGCATAGAGTGTTACCTGCTATTTATACCTTTCCAGCAGATTTACTTTCCTAATTTTTTTGTCAAAGCTTTTACTAAAAGTACTTTGTTTTATTAGTTCATACTACCTAAAGTAAACAGTCAATAAGTGTTATTTATAATTATTGTTATTATTTTACTATTGTCATCACCCAATAAAAGAGAGAACTTTGAAGCATAAGGGACAGGAGGAAAATCAATAGACTTTTATGTATTTATTATAGAATATCTGTATGTTAATAATTAAAAGTTGACTTGTATGAGTTAGTTATGTGTAATGGTTGCTGTTTTCAGTGACGTTTCCTTTTGCAGCACAGATGAGAGCCATTTTATTTATATTACCTGGCATTAATGTGCTTTAATATTTTTATATATTACCTGGCATTAATGTGCTTTAATATTTTTAGGGATCTTATCCATAGAACAGCTCATCAGCCGGGTAGGTGTGATTGGGGTGACACTCATGGCTCTCCTTTCTGGATTCGGTGCTGTCAACTGCCCATACACGTACATGTCCTACTTCCTCAGGTAACGAGCACTTTGTCTCTTTTCTTTTTTTTCCATTACTTCTTTAGTACATGTGTCATATCATGCCACCATCTTTAATACTTATGTATTAGATCTATGACACTGCCTTTTTATTCTTTTCCTCTGTCCCTACAGGTATTGACTTAAGAATCTTTCTAAATAAGTGTTATTTATATTGCTTGCCCTTGTTATTTTTCCTACATTTATTTATTTTTTTTAAATGGCAGATTTTAACCTGACATGCCCCCTACATCCCACTTTCTAAAGGCACATTTCTAATGGACAGCAGTGTGAGCTAACCCCAACTTCAGCAGATCAGTTCCTCCTAGAAGTAGAACAGTAGAAGACAATGCCATGTTAAAAGTGTGCTTAAACATACATCCTAAATGTCACTGAATCAAAGCTAAGAAAGACCGTAAGATAGCAAAGTACCTTTCGTTGTCCTGAGACCCCAGAAAAATTTAGCTATAAGAAATGACAACAAAAGCATTTTAGCTTACAATAGTCATTTTAATATTTTCTAGAAAAAGGCAGTTCCTTGAATTACTGGGTAACAATTGAGGTTATGTGTCTCGTAAGATGCCTTGTATTATGCTCAAGGGTGGGACCCCAAAACATTTTGCTAACAGTTTGTGCTTATTGTAGGAATGTGACTGACACAGACATTCTAGCCCTGGAACGGCGACTGCTCCAAACTATGGATATGATCATAAGCAAAAAGAAAAGGTAAGATATCAGCACATTAAAAAACTTGTACTCTGTTAACACTTTCTCGACAAGAAAATCTGACTAAATATTGGTGCTGGCAGGAAATTTCATCTTGTTCATTTTTATGATAAGGTAAACTGCCATCAAAGATTTAGTGTCTAGTCTTGTATGAAAGAAAATTCTCAAATTCAACCTTGTTTCCTGAATTTAGATACTTCTCGTACGTAAATTGTTAGAATAACTTTTTCATTTAATTTTTATTTTTTAATTATAATTTTAAAAACTATAGTTATATATTTGTGGGGTACAAAGTGAAGTTATGATTTATGCATACAATATGGAATAATTAAGTCAAGCCAATTAACCTATCCATCACCTCAAATACTTGTTTTTTGTGGTGAGAACATTTGTAATTTACTCTCTTAGCAATTTTGAAATGTACTATACATTATTATTTACTATATTCACCAGGCTGTGTGATATATCACCAAAAAAAAAATAACAAACCTGATTTCTCCTGTCTAATTGAGGCTTTGTGTGCTATGACCAGCATCTCACACTCTTCACCCCCTACGCCACACCCCCCAGCCTTTGGCAACCACAATTCTACTCTGCTTCTTTGCGTTTGATTGTTTTAGATTATACATGAGTGAGAACATGTAGTATTTATCTTTCTGCTCCTGGCTTATTCACTTAGCATAATGTTCTCCACTTCCATCCATGTTATCGCAAATGACAAAAAATTTTTTTAAGGCTGAATAGTATTTCATTGTGTATATATTGTATATCCCATTTTCTTCATTCATCTATTTATGGGCATGTAGGTTGATTCCATAACTTGGCTATTGTAAATAGTGCTGCAATGAATGTGAGAATGCTGACAGGCATCTCTTTGACATACTGATTTCTAATCTTTTGAGCAAATACGCACAAGTGAGATTGCTAGATCATGTGGCAGTTCTATTTTTAGTTTTTTGAGAAACCTCCACAGTTTTCCATAATGGCTATACTAATTTATATTTCCATCAACAGTGTAAAGAGGATTCCCTTTCCTCCATATCCTCACCAACACCTGTTATCTTTCATCCTTTTGATAATAGTCATTATGACTGGTGTGAGTTGATGTCTTACTGTGGTTTTAATTTGCATTTCCTAATGATTAGTGATGTTGAGCATTTTTTAATATATCTGTTGGCCATTTGTATTTCTTCTTTTGATAAATGTCCATTCAATTCTATCCCTCGCCCGTTTAATCTTTCTATAGAGTTGTTTGAGCTCCTTATAAATTTTGGATATTAACCCCTTATCTGACGTATGGCTTGCAAATATTTCCTCCCAGTTTATAGGTTGTCTCTTCACTCTGTTAATTGTTTCCTTTGTCATGTAGAAGTTTTTATTTTGATGTAATCCCACTTGTCTATTTTTGCTTTTGTTGCCTGCACTTTGGGGATCAAATCTAAAAAGTCGTTGCCCAAACCAATGTGGTATAGTTTCTTCTAGTAGTTTTATAGTTTCAGGTCATATGTTTAAGTTTTTTAATCCCACTTGTCTATTTTTGCTTTTGTTGCCTGCACTTTGGGGATCAAATCTAAAAAGTCATTGCCCAAACCAATATGGTATAGTTTCTTCTAGTAGTTTTACAGTTTCAGGTCATATGTTTAAGTTTTGAATTCATTTTAAGTTGATTTTTGTATGTGGAGCGAGATACAGATCCAATTTAATTCTTCTGCATATGGATATCCAGTTTTTCCAACTCCATTTACTAAAGAGACTGCCCTTTTCCCAATGTGTATACTTAGCACCCTTGTCTAAAATTAATTAACCATAAATGTGTGGGTTCATTATTTCTGGGATCTCTTTTCCATTCCATTGGTCTATGAGTTTATTTTTATGCCAGTATCATGCTGCTTTAATTACTGTTGCCTTGTGGTATTGTTTGAAATCAGGTGGTGTGATGCCTCCAGCTTTATTTTTTTCGCTCATGATTGCCTTGGCTCTTTGGGGTTTTTTGTGGTTCCATATGAATTTTAGAATTGTTTTTTTCTATTTCTATGAAAAACGATATTGGAATTTTGATAGGGATTGCAATGAATCTGTAAACTTGGGTAGTATGGACATTATAACAATATTAATGTTCAACATACATTTCTAAAAAGAAACAATTCCATTTATAGTAGCTACAAAAACAAAAAACTTAGAAATAAATTTAACCAAGTAGGTGAAGGACCTGTACACTGAAAACTAAAATGTTAATGAAAGAAATTGAAGAAAACAAATAAATGGAAAGATATCCCATGTTCATGGATTGGTAAAATAACATTTATAGTTGAAGGATGGATGTTGTAAAAATCTGTTGTCCTGTATTTTTGCAAACTTTTTTTATGCCTGACTTAGATCTTTTCAACTTCCTTTTTTCCAACTACTTAAAATTCTTCATGTCTTCTAATTATTATTGTTGTTGTTGTTATTTTAAAAGTACTTTTATTTTATTTTTTTGTGTGTGTGTCTTTTTCATGACTGGGAAGAGGATCGCAGCCCTTGGTGTGGAGTCGCCCACACCATGCTCAGCCAGTGAGCGCACCGGCCATTCCTATATAGGATCCGAACCTGCGGCGGGAGAGTCGCTGCACTCCCAGCGCCGCACTCTCCCGAGTGCACCACGGGCTCGGCCCTTAAAAGTACTTTTAAAATGTACGTTTTCTAAGTGGCATTTTGTAGAAATCTATATATTACAGTGGATAAAAGCATAGACTCTGAAATCAGACTGTCTAAATTTGTGGGGTTTTTTGTGTTTTTTGTTTTTTTTTCCTTTTTGTCTTTTTTTTTTACTGACCGGTAACGGGATCAAAACCCTCGGTGTCGCGCCCGTACCGGGGACCGGCAATGGGATCACAACCCTCGGTGTTGCGCCCGCACCGCGCTCAGCCAGTGAGCGGGAACCGGTCTCCACATGGGATCCGAACCCTCGGCGGGAGCGCCGCCACGCTCCCAAGCGGCGCACTCTCCAGTGCGCCACCAGGCCAGCCCCAGACTGTCTAAATTTGAATCCTTTGTCTAAAACTTAACAATGTGACCTTGAACTAGTTATTTATGTCTTTGTGCCTTGGTTTCCTCCTCTATAAAATAGGGATAATAACAATGAGTTAAGACTACATCTGGCTAAGGACAACTACTGAACTTATTAATAATCGCTGTATGACAATCATTTGGTCTTCATGCTTTGCCTTCATTTATTTATTCATATGTTTATTCATTCAGTAATTTTAGGAAACCTAGTTTATGCCAGGTACTGGGGATAGCATGATGAAAAAGATTATCATTTCCTAACTTTATGGAGCTTATTAGTTTACAGCCTTTGTTAAAGTTATTATTACCCATATATAAATGGTAACATAGAGGTTTTGTTTTTTGTTTTTTCTTTTTCTTTTTTTTTTCTATTTTTTTTTTTATTTTGTCAATATACAATGTAGTTAGTTATTGTGTCCCATCACCGAAA